GAGAAAAAAAAAAAAGCTGCTCCATGCCTTGGTCTCCCTTTTAACATCCAAGCAGCCTTTAGGTTACGAAAACAAATGCCTAATTTTACAATTAGGGAACTCTCAGACATCACCAAGATTTGCTTACATGAAAAACATCTGTCATTGTGCATTCAAACCAAGGCCCCCTCCGGGGAGCGGTTAAAGCCATGCTAATGGACATTATCATCCGGTAATTTGAACCTGTGTGCAGACAGCCTTGTGCTATACAGCCGCTTACATGCCAACCCAATGCAGATGAGATGAAAGTCAGGTTCAGTTCCCATTTAAAAGCTTGGCTTGCAGCAGGCTCTACTCCATTTTTCGTTGAATCATGTTTTCACGTGCCAAGTGCAGCTCCCAAAGGACTTCACGCCATACTGAAATCTATGGAGGCTCTCAAGATGGCTCTGGCACCCTCCAGAAATCGCTGGTTTGCCTCTCCACCTTCCACTGAGTTAAAGGAAAGCAACAGGTTTGGGGCTAACCCAGCCCCAACTTTACAAAAATTAACAGGAATTATGTAACATAACGTGTTCAGACACAAGGTTTGTTTTGTTGTATAAAACACTAAAAAGCTTTCTGTGGTACTTCATGGTGTGAGCGAATGCATGAAAAGTCAGAGACACTCGCTCCAGCCTTTCTGTTTTCCTGGAGAAGAGGTCCCAAAAGCCAATTAGTAACAAAACTCTTACCCAGGGTAGTTTTACTAATTGAGGAACTCAGTCTTGCTAAACCCAAACCAATGAGCAGCTTTAGGGCTCAACCTGTCCAAAGCACAAATACTGACACTGACTAATTTGTAAGGCAAATGAAGGAACTTAAAAAAAAAAATTATTATTTTGAACCAGCAAAGTCTCTTCAAAAGATAATCCCCTCAATTATAAGAGTAACAGTATACTTTCCTGGAAATTAGCTTTAATGAAACATAAACATGCCGGCCCATGGCTAAAACCTGAGCCCAGCAGGCAGAGTAGCAGTTTCCTCTCCACAAGCTTCCCTCTCAAAGCGCACAAAGCACACTGCTGTTGTATTAAAACCTGTCCCCTTCTCACCTCAAAACAGTTTCTTACACAATGTTTCACTTCCTGAGAGATTTTAACATCGTCTATATTTAGCTATTACCTGTATTCACCAGCTACTCCGTGTAGTAAGGAGGGAGCACAGGAGTTTAACGCTCAGTCGAGCACTGCCAGCTCAAGCCGATTTAAGACAGGCTCGCTGCTGCTCACTACCTGAATGTCTAGAACTCGCTTCGCTACCAAACATGCCACCTCGCTCTGCTACCCTGCACTCGCACAACCGACACACTTACTGGTTAGTATGCAAATAAAACTTCACCGGCTTTTAATTCTCTCCAATGACTAAGACTTTTTGTTCAGTTATTTTCTCAAACTCACTACTTCACCTCAGACTAGAACAAGGGTTTAAATTTGCTGTTGCTGTAAGAGCTTTTGGGTTTTTTAAACTGATGAAGAATCACCTACTGCATACCTGAACTTTAAAATACAGAATACCCTAATTTACTAGGCTGACAAGCTACTAACAGTCACTCCTGAAACAGCATCTCCTGAATGAAGAGCCATGAAATTTTACAACTTGGTTACCTCATGCTTGCATGGAGAGCTCAGAATGCAATTCCAGCAACCACTCCTGTTACTCCGTGGCAGTGGGCTGCATTTCATTTGCTTTTCAGAGCTGTATCTGTAACTTCCTTTCCCATGTTCAGAAGAGATGTGCACACTTAGACACATTTCTATTTTTGAGCCGGGCTGGTTGGCTCAGCAGAACCATGGCCCTCTCCAGGCTGAACCCTAGGGTTTTGTTTTCTATTATATTGAGTGTCAAAACATGGACCAGAGCTGACAAGCAACACAGCACAAAGTGAGATAAAGCGGCCCTAAAGTTTAATTTGAAGTTAACATGGCGGTTCTACCTCTCTCCTGCTGAATTTATAGAGCAACAGCTCTGCTCTACCTTCTGGGGCACACTCTAATCGCTTCCTTACTTTTAAAATGTATTTTTACCAGTGTGACACATGCAAAAAGAAAGTAAGTAATCAGAAGTTCTTCACCAAGTAGCCTTCATTCTCTTTAGGAGATTTAAATAAAACTATACTTTGCAGGAAATACATACACATTCAGAAGGAAGCTGGAAATTGGTGTTCATCTCTGGGGTAGAAAAAACTCCACCATCAAATGATAGCTACCAGGAAAGTAGCTAGCTTCATTCAAGACCTGAGAACATAATTGCAGCCTCCTGCCATAATCAGGTCAAATTTAGGCTTGTAACTTTTCAGGGAGGTGAATGCACTAAGCTATCTTAATGGACAGGCTGGATTATGAACAGCTGACAGGACCTTAAAGAATATTTAGCCTCATCTCTTTAGCACAAACTAGGAAAATACTTGTTGAAAATTTTAAGTGAGACAGAAACCTGTTCCTGTGTTGCACTAAAACATGCATCACCATTACATTAAAAAAAAAAATATACTGACTCGTAAAAATGATCAAAAAAATTCAGTAAGAGAAAACAAACCAACTTATTTTTACTAATCACAACTGGAGAAGAAAGTGAAGCCAAGAGAATGAACTAACTGCTCCAGTGCTAATACAGATGTTTATCTATAATGCTTACTTGTACCATCTAATCAGCTGCACTCCATCTGTCACACTCCTACTGCTCGTTAAGAAAAACAAACAAAAAACAGTTAACAGTGGAGCTAATCTTAAACAGAAAGTTAAAAGGAAACGTATCTGGAAGTGTGACTTTCAGGAGCTGAACACAAGCTCTCTGGCTCAGCTTCTAACTAAAGTTCTCAAAAAAGTTTTAACAGCCTTTATCACATGTGTGTTCTGCGGGGTTTTTGGTGAAAAATAGAGAAAACCCCATGACATGCATTTTCAGTTTACTTGACGGAGAGATAAGAATGTTGATAGTATCTTCCAAAAGCCCTCAGAGTGTAACTGCATCGTGTGAAGCGATTTCACAATGCAGTGTAGTGCATCTCCTCGTTTGGTGTAAAGAGCCAGAAACCAGCAAAGGAAACAAGGTCATAACAGTAAAACTGAAAGAGCAGAAATGATAACTTCAAGCCAGTTACACTGAGAGAGAAAGAAAAAAAAAAAAAAGCAGCTGAATACCAACTGTAGGAAGTCCCTATAGCCTCTAAAAGTTGCTAAAACCTTTATGTGTCACCCACCACAATCTAATGGAATTCAGTGATTTCTGCCTGGAAAAACACACACATAAAATAGCTTATTATGGTCAGGAAGCTGGCAAACATCAAAATGCAATCAATGGAGATGGGGAAACACAAGGATGCTAAATTCGCCTTCACTAGAGAGCAGCAGGAAGCCACCGGGCTCTTGGTGCTTCCTGCCGGTTAGCAGGTACTCTTACTCACCGGCCGGGCCTGGGGACTCAAGTAAGGTTCAAAGTCATCATCATTTAACCCATCCTTCTGATGCACAGATCCGTTTTGCACTGAGGAAGAGATGTAGAGCGTTAGAAAGCTCTCTGCCGATAAACTCGAACGTTTGCCGACTTAAAGTCTTGAAAGGCAAACCTCACAGTGTAACGAACCCCTACTAGCTATGATCTGCCACGCTCAGCCCAACAGAGAGCGAAAAGACACTTCAGCACCGCACAAAACACTCTTGAACCGCAAACTTTCCCTCAGCCACAGAACCGACGACGGGTTTCACAGCCCACGGCTTGTTTTTCTCCCTGCCACTCCGCTGCGCAAAGGCGCAGAGACCCGAAGACATGCCCAGCAAATTTCGGAGGAGATCCTCCCCGTCCCTCCCCCGCGGGCACGCTCCCCACAGGCTCAGCTTCCCCGCGGGATCCCCCATTTCCCAGCCCTCCCCGCCAGTCCCGGGGCTCTCACCTTTGTTGCCTTGGCCCTTGGG